GGGGGGGGGGGGGGTGGAGAAAAGAAAGCAAGCGAAGTGGACAAGGAGTTGGGGGGAGCGTCGCGTGCCAAAGGCCAGCGGGAGGGGCGAGGCGAGGCGAGAGCCTCGTGTGCCAGCCGCAGCCCCACACCTGCCGGGATGTCCGGACAAATAAAGCGGTATAAACAAAAAGGGGGGAGATGGACGTGTCACCAAGTCGTGTGAGAAAAGCCTGGGAACAAACGGGGCGCCTCCGTCTCCAAGAGCTCTCCCTTGAACCCGGCGGAACAGCCTATTAAAGGCTTACTTAATTACTTTAATGACTCTGGACAGGCTTTAAAACGCACTCGGCGCTGGGACCGCAGGCTTGCTGGGATTTGTAAACAGGCCATCATGTGAGACTCAGCGGTGGGACTAAAGGAGGCGACACTGTTTTTGTGAGGGTCCTCGCCCCCCGGTGCCCGCTGCCGCTGCGCTGCCGCGCTCCTGCGCTCCGCGCCTGCTGCAGGCGCTCACTCGCCAGCCAGTGGATTTACCGCCTCCTTTTCCCGCCCGCGCTGTTGCCATGCTAATGTTATTCCCGGACCGATCACGTGTCCTTAGAAGGGCCACGTGGATTAACAAAGCTGATCTGCCCCCAACTCGCCCCCCTCGGCTGCTAATTTTTTTTTTTTTCTTAGCTTCTTTAAAACTTATCTTGAATGCATACATCCCGCAAACACAGCTCTCCTAATCCTACGGAATAATTCAACTGGTGAATGCACTTGGAGCCCTAGATGACCGCTTTATAAGGCAGTTCCTCGGAGTTGGAAGGCTGCAGTCTACCTGGAACACTGGAGAAGGCACACGAGGTGGAAAGAGGACGGGTGCCTTGGGTCACCGCCTTTCCCAAGGGCCTGTACTCACCAGGATGTCCGACAAGCTCAAGGAACGGAAAGTGAGTCGGCTGAGCCCAGCCGCCCTTGCGCCCTGGTGTTGGAGGCGTTTGAATCCCCAAACTGCCACCTGGCTGGACCGATGGCAGAAACGTGACCACGCGGGACTTTGCATGTGGAGGAATCTCGAGTGGTTTGAGAAGGCAATGGGGATAGAGAGAGGCGAGTCCTCAACCAGTAAAGAACCCATGCCTGAAGGCTGGCGGCTACCTCCCCAAAGCCCTGGCGCTCAGCTTGGTGGTGCGGCCAGAGTGGGTAGAAAGGCTGCAAGGAGAGCGCGCTAGCGCAGGCATGAGAGGATAGAGGTCGAATGGCCCCAGTGTGGAGGGACAAGACTCCTTCCAGGGTCGAACCTAAGGGGTACATGGAGGGCAGGGAAGATAATTAACACGCAGCTACAGCCTTGAATTTGACGACTAACTGGGCAAAGCCATCCTAAACGTACAAACTTCTGTTTGCAGAGAACCCCGGTTTCTCACAAAGTGATAGAAAAGCGGAGGAGGGACCGGATCAACCGCTGCTTGAACGAGCTGGGCAAGACAGTGCCTATGGCCTTGGCGAAGCAGGTAACGTCAGCGGACCGGAGCCAGGTACCAGACGCTAGCAACTCTCCGCTGTCACTCTGGCCAAGTCGCCAGGAATCTTACGAAGCAAGATGACGGTCCTTGTAGGCCTCCGTCTCCGGTGGCCTGAGCGCTCAGCGAGCCCCCAGGCGGCTCTCGCACAGATCCAGCAGTGGGTCCGCTCTAGATGAAACCTTACACTTGTAGCCTGCCAGGGCCGACTTGGCCCGCTTGGCCGCTGCGAAAAGCCCTTCCTCCTTTTGCAGAGTTCCGGGAAGTTGGAAAAGGCGGAGATCCTCGAGATGACGGTTCAGTACCTGAGAGCCTTGCACTCCGCTGATTTTCCCCGTGGAAGGGAAAAAGGTGGGCGCAGGTTGGGGAAAGGGAAACTTGGGGCAGAAGCGCGCACCACAGCTGGATGTTGGAAGTGGGGGCGGGGGAGGCGGGTCCTGCAAAAGCATTTTTCCCGCCGGGGCGACAGCTAGCAGCACTGTGCAGCGGGTTTCTAGGAGGCACTGGTTCCGCTACCTCCTTTGAGGTGTGGGGGGCGGGGAGGAGGTAGGGAAGTGAGGAGAGATTAAGGCTCTTAAGGAAAATCGTTCGCGCTTGCTTTTCTGGTCTCCAGACTGGGGAGAGGGAGAGGAAGGGCCTGAAATGGGGATTTTGGCACTGGCCTTGGACTCCCCATAGGAAAGTGGCCACACTCCGTTTTTCCCTTCCTACCTTCTTTCTCGGGGTAGCATCTTAGCATAGTGGCTAAGGCACTTAACTGCTAACCAGAAGGCTAGAGGTTCAAACCCACCAGCCACTCCTCGGAAGAAAGGTTGGGCAATCTACTTCCGTAGTGATACTGCCTCGGAAACCCAAGAGGGGGTCGTTATGAGTCGGGTCCGACTCGATGGCACATAACACCACCACCACCACCTTCTTTCTCGCTCCTTCAGCAGAACTTTTAGCGGAGTTTGCCAACTACTTCCATTACGGCTACCACGAATGCATGAAGAACCTGGTGCATTACCTCACCACTGTGGAGCGGATGGAGACCAAGGACACCAAGTATGCGCGCATCCTTGCCTTCTTGCAGTCCAAGGCCCGCCTGAGCGGAGAGCCTGCCTTCCCGCCGCTGGGGTCGCTCCCAGAGCCGGATTTCTCCTATCAGCTGCACCCGGCGGGGCCCGAGTTCACCAGCCACAGCCCGGGAGAAGCCGCCGTGTTCCCACAGGGGGCGGCCGCCGGGCCCTTCCCCTGGTCGCACGGCGCGACCCGCAGCCCGGCGCTACCCTATCTGCCCAGCGCGCCGGTGCCGCTGCAGAGCCCGGCACAACCGCACAGCCCCTTCTTGGCGCCAGTGCAGGGCCTGGACCGCCATTACCTCAACCTAATTGGGCACGCCCACCCCAACGCCCTCAACCTGCACACGCCCCAGCACCCCTCTGTGCTCTGACGCCGACTCATCCGCCAGATTTCTCTTAGCTTTGGGGGCTGCTTAGGAAAAACACTGTATATTGTACAGTTGTATATATTGTGCAAAGGAAAAAAAAAGGAGGGGGAAGGCCACGAGTAATTAGTCTTCGAAAGGATTTCCCCTTCGCAATAAACATTTTCTGGTAAGACCTAGAGAGATGGATTTTGTTGTTGTTACCTTCTGCCCCACCACAACGCATCCCCTCCAAACTGCCTAGGTCTTGAGGCTGATAGGGCCCAAGATGAAGACCCTCGGTAACTTAGTGTAGCGTCCCGCTAGGAAGTTTGAAAAGCAGAGCAAGGGCTAAAGAGTCTAAAGCTGATATTCGAATCATCGCTGAGAGAGGTGGGATTCATAGCCCTCGGATGCCTTTATGGCTCTCCCGAGGCTCCAGACCCGCATCCGCCCTGTGGGCATCTTAGGCTTTAGCCTCGAAGATGGGTAGGCAAGACGAAAATGTAAAGGAAAGACCTGTCCCCAACTGGCTTTGGTGGACTCTGACGTTGGCGCTCTTCCTCTGGCGAGGCCAGTGCCCGGGACGCGCACAGGACGCGCCCGCGAGTCTGGAGCTCAGCGAAGCCCAGACCTGCGAGACGTTTGGCTGAGTTCATAGCCATACGGCTGTCTCTGTAAACGTGGAGCTACTGACGTTCTCAATTATACCTTAAAAACAGCATCCAGCAAAGTTTTCTATCTTCGGATGACAATTCGTTTCCTAGCTTCAATGCTAGAGTCTCCAGGGTAGCTGGTGTTTCCTTTTACGCAGAGATATATACCCAATCTCGGGAGCGCCAGCCTACCCGGCAAGAAGTCGCCACCTGCCGGGTTGGGAAACGCGTTTCCCCAGGCGATTGACTGATCCCTTGCTGATCTCCACCTTCCAGCCACTGGCACGATACCAAGACGCGGGGTTTTCTGTTCAGGTTCTCGAGCCTGGAAAGAAAATATTCCCTTTGTCCCCGGGGCAGAGGTGCGGCGCCTCTTTCCGCAAGACCCCTTGTACTTCTGCTTCTCTACGAAAACTGCGTGAAGGCTTAGACGCTGCGGTGGAGTCGCAGTTCGCGGGCGGAAGGCCAACTTCCAAGCGCCACTCTTTATATTCCACTCATCAACATCACCACGACTGAGGAGCAATTGGTGCCGCTGGCCAGATCTCGGAATTCTTTGTTAAAAATCTCGCTCCACCCAGAGTCCCATGGTAAACATGATGAAGAAAGTTTGAGGTCTAAAGTTTGAGATCTAGGGGAGTCTTGGCTAGTGTCTTAAGGAGATTGTGGTGATTTTTTGTTTGTTTGTTTTGAGTAAGATCTGTGCCTTACTCACAAATCAGTGACGCGTTTAAAATAGCAAACTAATGTTTTTAAGATCCAAAGAGCACAATGGGCCTCTCCATTGTTCTATGTACATGGGTAAAATAAACAAGTTACCTAGTGGCTGAAATGTTATTTGCGGAGATTTAAACATTTTCCTTGCTTTTCTTTGAGCTTTTGTTTTCATTAACTTTGATGCCTTTTTAAATAAATACTCAAAATTATCTAGCACACTACCCTCTTCGTTTCCAGAGCCATTTACCTGAGCTATATGGATTCCTCTTCTCTCATTAGCTGGGGGACGGTAAATTAACATATTCCATTCCTCTGGATAGGGTTTAAGAGAGCTCTAATCTGTACTGTTTACTGAGGTCATGGAGTGTTATGACCTGCAATTTGTAAACCTTCAAACTCCATTATATAGTGACAGTCCAAAGGGGAAAAAAAACTTAACTACATTGTTGATAATGTGAAACTTACATGTGTATTTTTAGGGGTATCTTGGCTGGCGGTTCATATCCACCAGCCACTCCTCGGAAGGAAGGTTGGGCAATCCTACTTCCGTAGTGATACTGCCTCGGAAACCCAAGGAGGGGTCGCTATGAGTCGGGGCCGACTCGACGGCACATAACAACAACAACAACATATAGAAAATTTAGAAAAGATCTTGCATGTAAGGGGTTCATGAAATTACTTTTCTATAAAACAGGATAAGTAAACAAATACTTCCCCTCTCATGAATTGATACAGTTGGAGCATAAAAGTGAGTATAAATGTAGGCCTTTGCTGGTAACAAGTGTGCACTGATACAGGATAAAAATAAATTATGCAGAAGTGGGAAAATGGATGGTGCCTATTATTGGAACACATGTCTTACACCCATTTTCATCAGCACTGGATACAGAATATGAAGAAAGCCTTTCAGTTTTTTTTTTCTCTGAGCATTAAGCCAATCTGAATTCCCCTCAGCAGTGAAGCATTAAAGATATAGTGTTACCCTGGAAATATAAATTATTAATATATTCAGTATTTTTGTCACTTCTCAACTGTTAACCAAATTAGACAAAACTTTCTTTTGCTAAGTAGATTTTCTCTTTGGGATTAGCTTTGGGAATGCACAGGGCCACCACAGTAAAAACTTTGGTCATTTACATACAATTTTGCAAACTTCCACTGGCCCATGACAGTCTTTGTACCTCAAATGTTGGTATTCTTGATTTTCTTTTTTTTCTCATTTCACTGTGGAGGATAAAACCCTGCTTTGGATTTACAATGACTTTAGGGTAAAACTCTCCCTCCTTCTTTCTGTGTGTGTGTGCGTGTGTGTGTTTTGTTGTGTCTTTTTCTGAAACCTCATCCAAACTACCAATTCTCCTGGCTTGGCTAAAAATCAAACTTGGAATAGTTTGACTTTGCAAAAGATTAAAAACGTCACTACAAAATTCAATTGATTTGAATCAGACTGTGACTTTCATGTGGAATTCCTCCTGTAGTTTCTCTGACAACAAATTACTTCCAGCCTCCCCCACCCCAGTCTCTTACAACCAGTCCCTCCACTCTTTCTTTAAGTAAGTTGTATAGTAATGGTTTCCAAGAGAGGCCTGACCAAACCCAGAAATAACAAAAAACAAAAAACAGTTGGTTTGGCTGGAGGTGACCCATTGTGATGCCTCTGAAAGGGCCAATCTCTTGTTTCTTGGGCTTCATCCTTGAGTAGGCAAGAATAAAAATAATCATCCCCATGAAATCAAAGGTTTTCTCCAGAGGCTTGAGGAACAAAGCTGATGGCTGGTGCTTTAGGTCCGTCCCTATGGCTCTGCAGGGCTGGGACTACAAGTTTCTAGTCACTCCGGCACCTCTGCCAAAAAGGTAGTAACACAGAGCTTCCAAGCATTACTGAACAAACACAACCCTGTTTATCAGTAGGGACTCCCCTAGTCCAGGCTGCTGAATACCCAGGAAAGAAGGTGAAGGAGTTATGTTAAAGGCCTAACTAAGCCCACTCAAAACAAAGAAAAAGAGAAAAAAACCTTTTGCCATGGACTCATACCAAGGCAGTAAATCTTTACAGAAGTAGATTGTCCCATCTTTCTTCTGCGGTGTGGCTGGTGGGTTCAAACCACCAACCTTCTGGTTAGCGGTTGAATGCCTTAGGCACCACACCACCAGAGTTCCTTAACTAAGCCCACAAAGGACTTAGGTATGGAATTCCTAGGAGCCTGGTAAATGAGTGCCTGCTTAGGGTAACATGCCAAGAAAAGGAAGGTGATATGAGGCACATAAGCTTGATAAGTGTTTGTGGAAACCCTGAATGAACTTCCTAAATGCTGAGTCTCTTGGAATTCTGTATCAGAATATTCTTCTTGTGGTTTTTAGGTGCTGTCAAGTCAATTTTCAACTCATAGTGACCCCATGTGACAGAGCAGAACAGGCCCACAGGGTTTGCTAGGCTGTAATCCTTACGGGAGCAGACTGCAAGGTCTTTTTCCCACAGATCCACTGGCTGGATTCAAACTGCTAACCTTTAGGTTAGGAGCCAAGTCCTTAACCATTGTGCATCCAAGGCTCTTTCTGGTGCCCTTAGACCTCCCTCAGTCCCCTCCCCACTTCTGCAGAGACCAGAAAGTAATAGCACTCTTGCCCAGAGGGCTGTGGAGTAATCTACACACATCTGGAGGGTTTTCAGAAGGAGCAGTGGTCCTGCTTTTGCTTAGAGATTCTACCTTGTGGTCTGGCTGTCAGAGATAATGCTTAGCCTGCTCCTCTGAGATAGTTAACTCTTTCTGTAAACCCCAAAAATGTTGCCATCAAGTCTACTGAGATTCATGGTGACTCCATTTGTGTCAAAGAACTGTGCTCCACAGGGTTTTCAATGGCTGATTTTTCAGAAGCAGACTGCCAAGTCTTTCTTCTGAGAGGTGCCTTGAGGTACACTAGAACCTCCAACCTTTTGGTTAGCAGCCATCTGAGTCAACCATTTGTACTATCCAGGACCCAAGTGAATGCTGATCTCCAATCTAGGATTTGAATTTAGAACAAGCCTGATGGGGGTTCTGCTCCTCTCACATGAGAAAGAGCCAAGCAGGCTCACTGAACTAGATGCCACCATCTTTTCTGAAGAGCTCATTAGTTGTTCAGAGTGTGGATGGCTGGAGCCAGATTGCCTGGATTTGCAATTCAGCTCTGCTGCTTATTAGCTGTGTGACTTTGGGCAAGTAGCTAAGCCTCTCAGTGTTTCATCATCATAAAATAGAGATTTTAAAAGTGTATACCTTGATCAAATTGACAACAGCAACTTCTAAGATTATAGGAGCCTTAGGGGGCAGTGAGTTTATGATATTGACAGAGGAACAACTAAGAAAAGGTGGGTAAGAATGGCTGCACAACTCAAAGAATATAATCAGTGTCACTGAATTGTACATGTAGAAACTGCCGAATTGGTGGGCATTTTGCTGTGTGTATCAACAACAACAAAACAAACTTTAAAAAGGTGTATACTTCATAGTGTTCCTATGAATATAAAATGAGTTGGTACATTCAATTCACCAGACATATGGACATACCTGGTCTACACTTAAATGCGCAATAACTGTTAACTATTATACAAATAATCTACTTCTCTCACCCTCCCAAAGGGTCAGATCCTTGAGACTATTCAACTGCAAATGAAATGTCTATCAGAAAAAATATCTTAAACCTCT